GTGAAGATCATGAGAGTTTTTTTATTAATAATATAGTATTGTTTTCAAAGTTGCTCTGATTATATTATCCTCTCTTTACTGAATTCCTACCGGGAAGTGTATTAAGATTAATTATTCTTCTGAAACTTCAACAGGGTGTTGTTCTTTTCTCTGTTTAACAATTTCTCCTTTGTCTTTTCTGTCCATGTGTGGTGAATATTCGCGGGTAAATGACAGAATGTGGTTGGAAATCTACAAGCTTCTTTAAAATTGAGGATGATTTTGGTTTTTAACAGTTGATGTTATTTGAAAATCTCGTTAGAACTGCTGGCATCTGGCAGTTTTTGTCCATTGACATTCAACAGTTTATTATAAAGGAAAAAATTTTATGTTGATCAAAAAGGAAAAGTTTCATTTAAAAAAAAATTTTATGTTGGATTCAGTTTATCGGTTTTTTTTCAAGGTTACTTTTAAGATATTCCTTTCTGCGCTTCTCGATTGTACTTTATCAACATACTGTTTATTTTATAAATTGCTGCTCTCATAACGAAAACAGTTATCATTGCGATTTGAACTGGTTGAGAAATTTTTTTTATTTCACATCTGTAACGCTTTATCGTTTCTGAAGATGGTAGTTTGTAAATGATTCTTTTAATTTTGAAGATCGATTGACCTTTTGTTCGTATCGCAGTTTTTTTGCTTATGCGCAGATTTCAGCAGAATGTTCTCTGTCGTTTTTTTTTTTTGTTGAGGGTTTATTTTAGTCTATTTTTTATTGCTTAAAAACCAAAGTTTACGTCAAACTGTCAGTACTTGGAAAGATTTGATCCATTTGCAAGAAAAAAGTGTTGTCCGCGATTGATTAGTTGATAAGAGAATGTGGATTAGTGAAAACTTGCCATTTTTCTTTATTGAACAAGATGACTTTTTGGACGTAGATCTTGTTTTTCAAACATCTTGAGTTCTCCACATTTTCGTAAAATTCTGCTGTGGTTTTCCAGTTTAAAGATTTAGGTGCTCTCGTACTGTATTTTTGAGTAATTAAGATTTTCTGAAGTCTTTCATTCATTCTCTTTTTTATTTTATAGTATGATAGAAATTTCAGTCACTTTTCAAATTCTTTTGGTTTTGTCCCGGAAGTGTTTAATTGCTTTTGGTACATATGCTCAAGTAAATTGAGTGCTTTTTCATTTGTCATGTCCCTTTCCTTGTGCTTTGACGTTTTTACAGTCAAATATCAGTATTTAACACCGTGTTTTTCGTTTCCTGCTTGTGGAATTCGTTAGAGTGATGTTGAGAAAAATTGTGTGCTGTCACATAGTTTTTTATAAACAGGTATATACTATTCACAACTAAAATAGTTTTCTGTTTACTGACTAGAGCTTGTAGAAATAGAACGATTAATTCAACATTGCGTTGAAGTGCCGTAGGCGATGTATTGACCTTACAGTGAGTCGCAGTTTCACCTTATAGAACGTAATAATGAATGGAGTGCAATTTTGGATGGGTGGGATGAACGCGTAATTGTTTCAATTTTCTTTTTTGATTCTTTATTCGTACAGTCTGGAGATGTGGTCACTTAGTGGCACCATCGGGCTTTTTTCTCAAACTTTTTCTGACTTTTTTTGACTATATTACTTTCTGTAAATTGCGTTAATTAAATTTTAATTATCTTAATCTAGAGTGTCCCTGAGCGATATAATTTTAACTGTTGGAGTAGTAGAATTCAGAAATGAAAGGGATGTTGGAATGATTCCGCAGATGTTCATCTCTTTTACAAAACAGTAGCACTGTTCTTGTCTGGCACAGTTTATTTCCCCACAGCAGAAAGAAATAAAATATTTTACAGTCTGGTTTAATTTTGGTGTTTATTGGGAGTTGTTCTCCTACTGGCGCCGAATGCAACAGTACCTGTATGTTCATCTGCGAGGGTTGCTGTGGGTTTATTATCTTCCTTGATGTCAAAACTGGTCTTGTTGTTGGTCGCATATTGCTGTTTCTGCGTGTATATTTGGAAGATGTTGAAATAAAGCCAAAAAATAAAAAATGAATGAGTTATCTGCACACAGTCGTCACGACAGTTAATGAACACCAGAAAAATTTTTTTGGGGCGCTAGAGTTTGTTTTCAAAGTACTTTTTTTAAATTCATAATTTGTACGAAATTTGGGCGGACCGACTACTGGAATTCTTGTATGCTTTTCGTGGTGTACTGTAGGTTCATAGAACATTTATTTAGTGTTTATGTATTTAAATTACTAATGCTTCTGCATTTCGTTATTCTTTCCTTATCTGCTGATAAGCAGTTGTTTACGCAACATTGTTTAGATTTTCCAGTTCTTTGAAATCTTGGTGAAAACGCGTGTATGCGAGATGTGAATGCTTGTTAGGTGCCAATTTGCCAATTTTTTTAGTGGAAAAAGAATGTAGTAAAGCGGCAGTTATTAGGAAGAGCTTAAATTCAAAATCGTTTATGAAATATCATTTCCTGCGATCATTATAAGTTTTTACAGGCTTTGTTTTTAAGAATGGCAACGTCTGTCGTCTGTTCTCTTTTGTCGTTTATCAACTGAAAATGATGTTAATACAGCTGTTTTCACAACAAATAAATGTTTGTTCTGAAGTATTGGTCTGTCTGATAAAATAAGTAGAAAGTTCAGCGGAGCATTAGCATTGGTTGAAAGTTATTATGTGGTATTTTTCGGGAATTAACGAGGAGTCATTTAGTGTCTTTTGTCTAATCGTATCTTTCATATACAGTTCGACTATGTGGCTCGCGTAAATTAGCTGCACAGATATATGGTTTGAATTTTGGGAATGGTTACTGCATACTGTCAGCAGGGTACACCTCCTTATATAACAGTAAGTAATAATTAGACTTTTCAATTATTTCAATTAATGTCACCTTGCAGCCTTTCGATTATCGCATTCGCGTACATCTGTTTCAATGTATGCGTGATTCCGGAATATTGGACCCCGATGACCGTTTGTTTGATGTGTTTGATGAAAATAATGACCAGGTTGGCTGTTTGTAGCACAAGAAAGTGGAGCTCTCTTTGTTTATCATTCTGTGCAGTTAGCTACAGAGGCCATTTTTATTTTTTCTTTTCTCTTTTTGTGGAGGATTTTATCGACTTAAAATATATGTTTCACTTTTCCAGATTCTTGCGATTTATGATGAGCAAGATGATTGTGCAGATAGACCGGCGCATTTTGCAGTAGGAGGTGCGTCGTCTCCCTCAACGTCTTCCCCGACAACGATTAATGCAGTGGAAGATTGCAACGATGGGTCCAACAATGCATGTTCCAGTTCTAGTGATGGGGACATTGTTGAAATAACTAGCTTAGCCGAGCCTCCAAGTCAGTTTTTAAATAAAAGAATAATTTGTAAGCGGTGTACTGTAGTGGGTTTGTGTAGTTCAGAGCTGCAGGTTTCTCAAATGTTTTCGTTATCAAGGTTCATTGCTTTACTGCTTATGCTGTTTGACAGTTGAAGTTTGTACAAAGTAATTTTTTGCAGCGTATGGTTGTTTTAAATGTTAGTAAGTTGGTAGAACAAACTATATACAGTTTGCCTGGTTTAATTTTTTTTTTGAGTTTAACATTATTTTTTCTTATTAAAGGTTTAAGGGCGCGGTAATTAAGGAAGAGCTTAGTTGAAAGGAAATGAAGAAGGTAGAAAAGTTTAGAAATTCAGCTGAATCATCATTTTTGAAGCGTATCAAACAGTTCATCTTAAATTGGGAATTAGTGATGACAGTTTGAAGATTTGCTTTCTAAGTTTTTACGTAGCTGTTTTTTAGTACAATTCAGTTTAGTCATTAGGAGTTTGTAGTTGAAGTATTTGGAGCAGAAACTTCTAATCTTATCTTCCTTATCCCTTTACACCGTACTTTTGTTCGGCAAGTCAATGTTGCTTTCTTTATTTAAAAAAAAATTTTTTTTTCTGTTTACTTCACTGTCATCTCAACATTTTTGTAAGTTTCTTCTTTTAGTGCTTTTAAATTTCAATTATTATTTAAGCTTTTCTTTACTACACATTTTTGTTAGCATTTTTTCAGGGAATGGTCTGAAAGTTCTAGAGGATGCCTCAAGCTTTGGTGGCGGTCAGTCATTATCGTCATTTTCTGTAAATCAAAGTGCTAGCTTTGTTCATCCGGCTTATAAACAACGGCGATCTGGCGTTTCAAGTGCTATAAAGATTCACTCTGCAGCAGTTAAAGTGTGTGAGCCATCTTCAGAAACGTGCAAGACTTCGACGAATGCAGGTTGAACTAATCATTGTAAACAAAAATGTATCGTTATTAATTTCGGTGTGACTATAATAATGAGAAAATTTATTTCTTCAAAT